CTCCCAGCATTCTTGTGGGTATGCCTGGTAAATCAAGTTTCTTTGCTGCTTTCATTCAAAATCAGAAAGAAAGATCAATTAACAAGACTAAAATCTACAGGCACAGAGAGATAGAGAGATAGAAAGAGTACCAGTAAAGAGGAAGAAGAAAGAGATTCATGGTTGCTAGTGTACAAACAGAAAGAAGAGCGTCTAGTGGAAGTATGAGAAGCTATGGAGAGGGTGAATCGGACCAAACTCCGCTCTGATGAAACCTTCTTCTTCGAGCACACTCTACTCCAGGAAGATTTCCGGCCATATCCCACAAAATTCTGGGAAACTAAACACCACGATGAACAACTCTGTTCCACAAACGGGTCACAGCTTGCAGAGTAAAAAGGATGGAAATATCATTTAGTTTTGTCTCAGTGATTACAAAAAGGAAAGGACAAAAATGGGCCCTTCGGAATTGACAGAAATTTCCACCTCCATGATTAGTTACATGTAGCTCTGCTTCTGTCTCTCTGTCTCTCTGTTTTTGTGTATAGAAACGTATGGTTTTGCAGAGAAGGAAAGGAAAACTCAAGAGAGAGAATTTATAAGGGGGAAAGTTCGGTGCCAGTCACAAGCAGGCATCCACCCAAAAGCTGAAACAGTAAAAAAAAAAAAACCTTAATATGTTCATTACATGTGAATGGATTTGATTAGAGTATACATAGGGGGACCAGATTTGGGTATTAAAATGGGGTTATGAGGATGAAAGGGAAATGCATATAAATGAAATGGGGATAGTGAGAGGAACAGATAACTGAAGAAGGAAGGAAGAAGGTAGGTGCAAAGTGCAGAGATGGAAGAGAAACAAAAGTTGTTTGGGAAAGAAATTGACTTATAAACCATGTGTCACCTCACAATTATCGCAAATATTTGGTACATTCCTTTTTTCCCCTACCTTCAGAGTCTTTCAAGTCATTTTAAATGCAAGACTAATTTTTATTAATTAATGTTAAAACCTTTTCAATAAACATGTTTTTGAAAATTAGAACTTGTGTTCTCCTCATCAACTAATAGCTTATTGTAGGTATATTACCTTTTGAATAAGTTGAATGGTAAGCAAATCAATGTCCCATAAATAACGTTTTGAACAAGTTTAAAAAAGATTGGTCTAGGTGTCGAGGATACAACTCATATCTCATATATGATAGTCTTAAATCCTACTATTAAATATAAGGACATTGTTGATGAGCAGTTTATAAATATTTTTGCGAGTGTTTTTTTAATCTTGAGACATGTTTTAACCACAGCAAGCTATCAAGACAAAACCCATCAAAATTATTTTTTATTAAAAAAATTTAATTCGGATATAACCCCGTTGAATTTAAATTGGTTAATGGGCAGGATTTAATATACTGATCTGTCATTTCCAACTATGCGTTGTAAGATTATTAGAAACCCTATCAGTAAGCGTTTCTTATGAATTAGCTGGGGCTAATTTTTTTGGAAAAAAAATGAGAGGAATTTAACTTTTAATTAAGCTAGTATCTCATTTTACATTTTCAATCAACTGAACTAACATGAAGTGATTGGCTTTTTATTTACATATAATTATTAGGGATGGTTATAAGGCTCCACTAGTTGTTAAGGATGGGTATGAAGAAAAGGTGGATGGACAATGGAGATATGAGAAGAAAACAAAACTACTTTGACATTATTGAAGATATTAAGCTTTTTGGGGTCTTTGGGGTTTATACTATTTTGTCAGCAGGCGAATGGACAAATCTTATACCGCTCATGTCCCACCAACTTGGAACGGTATAAAATGAATTCTTATACGGTGAATGATGTGGCCATTTTCTCCCTACCTAGTAGTTGTTTGTTTGTTTTATTTATATTGATTATATTATTATTAATAATATCATATCTGCAAAACTTAAAATTATATTTCAGGCCTCATTGACGTAAGGCCCGGATTGTTAATCCAGAATCACACTACTTGTTAAATGGGCCGACATTGATTTCTAGATTGGGCCACAATAAGCCATTACCCACCAAACTCATGTTTCATGTTGTTCCTGTTTGAATGCTTTAACTTATTTAGTAACCTACTAACAAATGTTGGTCAAAGTGAAGGGACTTGAGTACTTTAAATATCATATCCTGAATTCGATACTTGAGGTAGTGTGTATGGAACAAATATTATTAAGAAGGGCTCCCGCTACGACACCTGACAGTATCCGAGAGATTAGTCTCTCACCGTTCGAGTGGGAGGATACTCTAAGTAACAAAAAAAAACCTATTCAATAACCTTTGTTTAATATTTGATAATGTCTAAAACTCATTCAATAACTTTTGTTTAATATTTGATAATGTCTTGAACAGGGTTACTTCTAACAATATAAAAAGATAGTATAAAAAAATAAAATTTGTGTAGAGGAAAGATATATAAAACTATACCAAGGACAATTAATAAATACTTTTTCTTTTTTTCTTTTTTCTTTTTTTGGTGAAGATTAATAAATACTTTTTCTAAGCCTACACCAAGGTATTGACAACGACCCAAAGAACAGTTTACCCACTCTTAATGGTCAAAGTGACTCCTTTCATTTTAGTTATTTTTCATGTTTTCTTATTTGTTACTATTAAAAAACATGAATACTTGTAAATCATTTTACTCAGCATTTAGCGGAAGAAAGAACTTTTTAACGACTTAATCACATGTAAATTAAAAAAAATGTGTTTATAAAATTTTTTTGATAAAATTTTAAAAATTAGCATATCGTGGGGGGAAAGTAAAAACAGTAAAACACCTCAAACTCAAACGTTACAGACAGGGGAGAAGGTGAACATAAGAAGCCGCAGAAAATGCTAAAATAGCAGCAACAACTGATCGGACGATATTACCCCTCTGCAGAAACCACTGGTTCAGATGCACTCTGGGCCGCTCTTCTCCTGGACCCCACCCCGCAATCTTCGCGTCCTTTTCTGTTATTTGCCATTACGCTCTCGGTGCGAGGCTTCCCAGGGTTCTTCCAATTCTCGCATTCATGGCGGATCACGATCACGATCTCTCGCCTCTCTCTCGTAAGAACAAAGTCAGGTCCTCCTTTTGCTTGCCGCGTTATTGCTGCTTTCACCACAACACGGCCGCCAAGTCCAGGACGATTGGGAACTCGGCGCACTCCAAGGGCAAGTGCTGCGACTTCATCACGCGAATCGGGGCGCGCCACGGTCGCCGCCACTCCACCGATTTCCATTACGATGCTCTCAGCTACGCGATGAATTTTGAAGACGATTCCGCCAGTAACGACGGGAGGTACGTCGGTGACTTAATAAGGCGTGATTTCGCAGCGAGGTTGCCGTCGTCGCCATCATCCATGAGGATGTCGTCGAATTCATCGAGGTCCGGGGAACTCGCCGCATTTAGTTGATCTCGAATGAGGCAGTGGCGCATCGGAAAAATTAGCGAGAGGTTGGTGGCGGAGACCGCCGGAGCTAAGAAGACGTGAAGTTCTGCACACGGCGGGGATGGAATAATTTCTGTGATGCTTCGTCCTCTTGGTTTTTTTGTTGGTATGATTTTGTACAGAACATCAGACCGTAGCAAGATGCTCACTAATTCATGCAGCATGAAGGGTTTGATTTGGGCCAGCTAGCCTGGAGTTCCCCAGTTCTTTTATTCCTAAAAATTGGAGGAGGAATCAATAGAAAGCTGGTTTAGTTAATAAAAATCCATTTTAGGGCCATCGGATTTTTTATGGGCCCACTTATTCTGGTGAAATATCTTGTTCAAGCATGAAAAAATCATTAGATCATATTTGATTTACTATTACCAGAATTACTTTAAACTTAAATTGTTAAATTGGAGGATACCTCTACGCAGGGGGAAAAAAATCATTGAAACCAATAAAGAGTGGATCTAGTAGGGGGGAAAAAAAACTAATCCTTTATGAGATGACAAACTAATGTTGATGCCCACATAAATTCTGTCCCATAAGAGAACATTTTTGTGTTAGAGAATTGAAGCTTTTTTTGGTAATTGATCAGGTTTAAATGATCAATCTTACTTAAGGAGAATTAATTAATTAATAAAAATAGATAGAGATGTAGATTGATTTTTTTATCATAACTTCGAATTCATTATATCTTTAGGGTTTGAATCAGGTAAAAAAAAAAAATTTAAGGAGAACACTAGTGTTATTTTTGTACTAGAAACTCGCAAAGATAACTGGATGTTGGGTCTTTCTTTTTTAATTGCACGCATACAAACATACTAACATCACAATCAAATCTCAAATCTTAAGCATGACAAGTCGTACTGTCATTAGAGCAACTTGATGTTGGGTCTTCAGGCAGAGAAGTAAATAGATGGTGGGTCTTGAGTCTACAAAGAACAGAATGAGAAATGTTGAGACCAAAGTCTTCGTCGTTGCAAGCATACCAGACAGCATTAAGTCACCGCGTACGAACAAATCCCAAATGGCTTGTCATTGTGTTGTGGGTACGTATCCCGCCTCTAAAGGTTACCGCGTTCCTCGTCAGCCGCCTTATTCCGGTTCAACATCTTCCAAGTCTCCAATCTTCATTCCACTCCCTCCATAATTATTTTATTTACCAAGCTATGAAAAGAGGGAAAAAAAATTGAAAAGATGGGGAATTATTAGTTCAAACAATTATAGACAATCAAACAGGTCAAGAATGATACGCCCAATAACACAAGATAAATAATTTCTATCCCTGTCATTTATCACACCCACATATAAATCACTTTAATATATATTGGCCTATATGTATATATATTTATATGTCGCGTACGAAGATAAGGTTGAATGTGGAACTTTCTTCTTCAACAAGCAGTGCCGTAGCACACGATATAATCCATAAAATTCAAAACAAGGCCCCTCTACGCATCTCCAGACTGTGAAGCCAAAGATCTTTCTTCGAACCCTTCCCATTTCAACCAATTATTCAACTTCCATCCTTCTTCCTCATCACCTTTCATATTTCCACATAAGTGTTCCTTCTCTTATATATAAACAATAATACAACCCTCCGGAAACCAGTCTCCTTCAATTCAATAATGATGCCTTCCATGGCTTCTCTCGAAGGCCAGCCCCTCGTGCAACACCACGACGACGACGTCCATCAGCATCTCCGGGAGCTCGACGATACAACAACCTCCTGGTGCGGCGGATGCTTTCGGATTTTCGGATTCGGACGGTCGCGGGGAAGCTCCGACGGCGGCTGCGGAGGAGATCAGAGTGAGTCTTGGGTTGGGGAGAAGTTGAAAAAGGTGAAGGAATTCTCAGAGGTGATCGCAGGTCCCAAGTGGAAGACATTCATAAGGAAGATAAGTATGTATTTCAATGGCAGGAGACAAAATCCCAGGTTTCATTACGATCAGCAGAGTTATGATCTCAACTTCAACAATAGTGACGATGATGATTTAGACATGCCTCCTAGTTTCTCTGCTAGGTTCACTGTTCCTCGTCCTCAACCTGAATCCTACTCCTCATGAATATGTTTCTCCTCTGTGATTTTGATGATCATGTTCCTCATTCATCGTCGTCCCCTCCTTGATTTGCTGTCTTATCGCTTTTCTTTCAGAATACATTCATTGTTTGATGTACAAAGTCTTAAGCTTTTCGCCATTTTCATGAGCTTATTAAGCGAGAGAGGGATTTTTATTAGGTTTCCAGAGGTTACGAAAATACCTTGATAAAGTCAAAGCTGATCAGGAAACCAAACATGACGTGCTCATTAAAAGAACATTATTTTAAAAAGTTAATAATTAAAATGGAATATTTATTTATACTGGGCAGTTAGTAGTGGTTGTATTCGAACATTATGAGAGGTATATTCTTATCTTATCATACGCCAAACAATAATCAAAGAAAAGTGGTGAGAAAAGTCATCAAGTATCTGGTGGGTTTTCGAGGATTCCAGATGGGGGCAAAAAAAAAAAAGGGTGTTCAAATCAATGGAAATTTGAAGTCAGAGTTGGCTTTGTTTGAATGAAAGAGATATATCAGTTGGAAAGTTTTTGCAAATTGCATCATTATTACAGGGTTATATATTCTTTTTCCTCTCTCAAACGACAACAAAGGAAACTTGGAAACAACTTGCTAAACTCTTGGTTTTATACCTTCTCTTCCAAATCTACCAAACATGACTTGCAAGTTAATCCTTAAAAATGTTAAAAATTATCACAGATGTACTAGTGATGATATATATATATGTAGAATAAGACACACCTTAATTATATATATAATGATCTTAGCTTTGTAATATTGTTATTGTAATATTTTTATAGCTCAATATAAAAACAGATTGTTAATTTGGGTAACGAATTAGTGTGAGCAATATATATAATATTGCAAAAGTATTGGCTGTTTACTACAAAACTTCAAAATAATGGGTTAGCCTTCACACCCTCTTTGGCGTTGCAGTGATTTTATTTATTTGAGTCATGAATTCAGATAAACCCATTAATTAATTGGAAAGAAAAATCATTTTCCTGTTTTCTGAAAGATTTAACATCCTCATTTATCATTTAATTCCCTAAAACTTTATTTCCCGTCTTCAAATGGCGATAATTGTGAGAGTTAACAACTAATTAATTGGATGTGGATGGTTTTGGCAAGACAAGAATATCACTGTCAATCACTTCCATATATGACTATTGAAACGCAGTACGATCATTTTTAACACGAAATTAATTACAAATAGTTAAAATCTGTGGTGAACAATATCGCGCATTTATTTCCTTTCTCAGCACCAAATTAGTAAAATTGCCCTCTAACAATACAATATATAGGCGTAAATTGATGAAGTAAATTATAGTCTCTCTTTTCCTTTTTTTTTTTTTTTCAAATGTCACGTGTAATAATAATACAGTGAAAATATATAGGTATCAGCACGTGCTTATATAGGTATCAGCATGCTTCATAGATCGACTCGATACCCACTGAATGGAATAGAATGTGCAAGCTTCAAACCATATATATATCAGGTATCGACCATCAGCCTCATATACAACATCAATACTAAGTTTTAGTTCGATCGTTTCCAGAATCATGCCTCCATTGCTTCAGGTTCTTGCTGCTGACTGCTAAATCTTCGATCCTATGAATCCCATTGAAGAATCCCAATAGTTTTGTGCAGTGTTCAAAATATTCATATCATCAATCACTCCTTCACATAAAGCTCTGGTTACTGGTTTCTCCTGCATTACTACTATCCAGATAACACATTCAGAAAACTGAACACAAGAATCTGATATAGGTAACTTCAAGCTTTTGGATACTAGTAAGTTTACCTCTTGCGCTTGCTTTTAGAGGAGGTAGATGATGAAGGATTCGTATGCCAATTCCTTTTCCTTTGATTAATAAACCAGTTATTTATTTGCTTTAGTTGTAAGCCGGTTTCCTGCACCAGCCTTGCCTTGTCTTCCTCCTATATATGTATATATAACAAACAGTATGATCAAGCTCATTATTACTGACACACACACACACACACATCATGCATGTGAAAGCGGATGAGAGCTTACAGTAGGATAAGGCCATTTAGAATGTGATTGCCACCAAGATTTCAAAAGCGAGGTTGTGTCACCCGGCAGCTTCCCCGCACGCCTCTTTCTCAGAATCTCTTCTCGTATATCCACAATCTTCTCCTTGTAACCCTAATTAGCGAAAATAAAGCATGTTCAGATAGATCTATCAAGTAAAGATTCTGTAATAAATATATCAGTTTGGCTATGTGTGTTATTTAAAGATAGAATCAAGCTCTGACACTGATTTTAATGAGACATTAATTCTGGAAGAGTGTGTGTGTGTGTGTATTACCTGCTTTAATTCATGCTTCAATTCTTGTCTCACACGCTCCATCAAAGATCTTTCACTTTCAGTGGGAACAAGAGGACCAAATCCTAGGCTGTCAGCACCATCAAGGCCACCTTCGTATAGGTTAGCATTGCTCTCTACCTGCTCATCTTCATCGTCCGACATTGTTGCTCCTGTCCCTTCTCCTGGAGACACACCTGTTTCATGCGCCATATATAACCATGTATATGTCACACTTAGGGTTTTCAGTCTTCAAGATCTAACATGTGGAGAAAATATTTTAAAACTTTTCTCAACTATGATATTTAACGCCAGTACTATAAATAGTTAAGAATTGACTAATTCCTTCATCACAGCCTATTTAATGTAAAGATTGAATCTTCACCGTCACACGTAATGCAAGATCACGTAAATGATTCAATCGAGGTGGGTGATCAGAGATTATAAGGCTAGTCTACTAAAGAGCGTAAAAAGTTTTTAGGAAAACAGATAATTAAGATTTCTTTATTATCCCAAGGTAATTCTCTTCAGTTTATAAAATGATCAGGCATGCTGCCAAAATTTCTATACCAGTGCATATATACGCAGTAACGATGTAACTTTCATCCAAGGCCTGGTTTCGAAAGATTAAGATATATAAAAGGATGGGCTTTGAGAAATGATTTGATTATATATGTACACACACAGAGATATGTGAACAAGTTACATGAACTTGTTTTAAATTTAAGCCTAACGAGCATAAATATATATATATGAGGGGAAAGAAAAGGAGTAGGATTATTTATATCTTCAGCTCATGAACAAAGTCATTGTTTACAAGGGATAAGGATTAAAAAATCATATATGATAAGATATTTAATTATTAAATTACTCAAATATGCTTTAGACAATATGATTATAGCCATTATTAAAAGAGCAATATTTTATGCTTGAGCACAATGAAGCAGATCCCACTCCGTTCGAAATAGTCAGAATCTAACATGACCATAAATATCAAGTGGTTTGCTACTTTAAAGAGAAAAAAGGGTCATATTGTGATTATGATGAGAAATTACCAGTCAAGCCTTGAAGAGATTGCTCAAGCTCCCAACAAGCCATGACAGCTTCCATGGCATGAACTCGGACATGTTGTTGCAGTTGTTCTTTGAAAGCACAGAGCAATAGAACATAATGTGTCTGCTCAATAAAAGACAAAAGGCTTAAATTGGAAATGAGAAATTAAAAAAAAAAAAAAGGAACAGGTTTCATCTTGAAAAGCAGTTAAGACAACTGGGAAACCCGAGGATTTCTGATCCCAATGTAGCAAACTCAATAAATGCATAACCCAGCTAGCTACCTAGCTCATGCATACAATGCAACAGTAAAAAAAATGCCAAAACAAAGAAGATGCCAACTCACTTTTTCATCACCCTCAATAATTCCAAGGATTTAATCAACTTTGTTAGAATTGTTTTGACATTTTCTCGCTCTCTGATCAATGTCTGGAGGCTGAGGATTGTAAAGTTTCGAACTTGAGAATTATTTTAACCCAAAAAAAGGTATATTGTTTTGCGTATTTGATTAGGAGAGCCTACCTAAAGATAGGCCATTCAGGCTGATGGACAGATTCCCTATTTGCCACTCGCTGCAGGAGCAGGACAGATACTGTGAACAGTTGGTACAGAATCACTAAAGGTCCCATGCCCTCATTATTGTACTTTGGGCATGCCTCAAAGAAACGTACATTTGGGAGGGAAAGTGTCAAGCAAATTTTGGTGTGTGAGATACAGATTAGAGAGAGAGAGAGAGAGCGCTTCAAAATGTTCATTAATGGTATGTGATTCTTCATCCCAGAACTCATTCTTCAAGAATTGAAACTACTGAACTCTCAGCAAAAAGAAGAACAAGAACAAGGAGAAGAAGAAATGAACTGAGCCATCGATCGAAGAACATGTGCGACGATTACGAGACACATTAACAGAAAGAATTCACAAACCACTCCAAAACTGTGCGTAATTAATAATTTCATAGATGGATATATCAGATTCACAAGTTCACTACCACGAACTAAAATATAAAGGATAAACACTTTCCCTGAGTAAAATAGACTAAAGGAAGGTCTGAAATTAGCGGAATAAGGGGGAAAAAATCAGGAAAACAAGCTTCACAAGAATGGTCATTTATATTTTTTTATTGAATAAACCATGCTTCACAATGCATCACCAATCGGTAGACACAATCATGATACGCCCAAGAAGCAAAAACACTGTACGGATAAAAGAACAACAATATGTCACACAAACATCGTTAATTTCTTCATCTCCAGGCTATGGATTAAGAAAACGCGGTAGCGAATAGACAGGAAGGAAGAGAGAAGGAGAGAGAAACGAACCATGAACTGGTCAAGCTCCTTCTCATCAATAACGCCATGTCCAAGTCCAGAGTATTTCTCAAGCACGCGCTGTGACTGTTGAAGCTGAGCGTCGATCCTAGGAAGCTGGTCCACCGGAGTGGCAATCCTTAAACACGACACATGAGCCGACAAGAGCTGGTCGTAAAGGGGGTGTCCCAAAATGTCAGCTTTGTACTCCGCCAAATCCTCAGATTCACAATTGCCGTCGCCCCGGCTCCGATCGCCGCCGTCTCGATCGTTGCTCCTCTCCGACGAAGGTATCATACTCCCCCGAACATCATCGGCCGAGTCAGACTGCAAGTGGAGAAAATTCTGCTGCCGGAGAGACGACCCAGCGCTATTCACCAGCCACGTCGGGGCCGGACCTCCCCCGGCGCCGGCTGAGAACGGCATCATCCGCTGCATGTCCCTGCTT